CACCATCCACTAGGTGTGATGCTGCACGCTCTAGGGAGACAGAGGCAGGCAGGCAGGCAGAGGTCTAAGTTCCCAAAGCTAGACTGGTCTACATAGTGAGCTGGAGAACAGGTGGGACTATTGTCTCAAAAAGAAGAGAAGATACTAACCTCATCACAACATCAACAGGTATCATTCTCTTTGCTTTATTATTTGAGGAATCTGAGGCTCCTTAGGTTCAGCACCTAGGCTTAAGATCAGATAGTTGGAGCTTGAGAAAGATAACATACAAGTTCAAGTCTCCCTCCAAAGCTCACCTCTGTTAACTGTACTATCCCTCAGCATATAATCAACAGTTACTGAGAAACATAATAAGTACACACACAAAAGTTCACTTTTAACTTCTCTATTTCCTCTATTTCAATTTGCCTTTCGTGTGTGTGTGTGTGTGTGTGTGTGTGTGTGTGTTATTATATGTATACAACTATGTGCATATGTGGAGACCAAGTGGTGTCCCTCCCGTATTACACGCTGTCTTAACCTTCTCAGACAGGGCAGGGTCTCTCACTGAATCAGGAACGAGGCTGGTAGCCAGAAACCCCAAGGATCCTCCTGTCTCTGCCCCTGTATTGTAGAGGTTCCAAGTGAACATACAGCAATGGCCTGCTTTTTACATGGGCCCTGAGATGCAAACTCAGGTCCTCCTACTTGTGCAGCAAGAGCTCTTACCTACAAAGCTATCTCTCCAACATCTTAATATAGATTTCTAAATGTTTTGGTTTCAGAGTGATACTATACTAAGAACTTTAAAACACACACAAACATGTAAAACCTCCTCTATAATTGAATTAGCCATTTTCCCAAGCAATGATATCAAAGAGTGCAAAATACCAAATAATAATTTAGTACAGACAAAAGTAAGTTTGAAAGGGGAATCTATTAGAAAACTGACACACCTTCTAAATCTCTCTGGTCTGCCAAAAGTTACAATTCTTCCTGATTCTAATTACAAACAGAAGAGGGTTCTAGTACTGTGTAAAATTCTCTAGGAGACAAGAACATCCGGATTAAAAGCTCCAACCAATGACAACTTCATCAACTATCCACTTAAACAAACTAAACAAACAAAACAAACCAGAAAGGAAAAAACCTTCAAACAAAAATGCTTAGGAGACTTCAAAGAAATGATAAAGCTTCAAAAAGAGCTTTTTGTATCACATTTCAAACATTTTTTTCAGTACAAAAAAAAAAGATAAATGACTTAAAATTAACTTGGCTTTAAATTTTTTAATTCATTTGCTTTTTAGCTAATGATAGAAAAAAATTAATCTAGGAAAAAGAAAATTTCACTGTTCAAACACAAAAGAAGCTACAGGGAAGCATCATGTCAGCATGTAGGACCACACAGAAAGGACTCTTTACGTATATAAGAATCCCAAATCATTCCTTTTTTCTTTTTTTTTTTTTTTTGGGGGGGGGGTTTCGAGACAGGGTTTCTCTGTGTAGCCCTGGCTGTCCTTGAACTCACACTGTAGACCAGGCTAGCCTTGAACTCTCGAACTCAGAAATCCGCCTGCCTCTGCCTCCCAAGTGCTGGGATTAAAGGTGTGAGCCACCACGGCCCGGCTCTTTTTTTTCTAAGTTTTGATTTTTTGAGACAGGGTCTCTGTGTAGTCCTTTGTAGACTAGGCTATCCTTGAACTCAGAGATCCATCTGCCTGCCTCTGCCTCCAGAGGGCTTGGATTAAAGTCCTGTGTCATTGCCAGGCCCCAGTCCATTCTTAGTCCCTATTATCCACTTGACTAGATATCTCTGGATGTATTTCAGAGGGCTTTTCCACAAATAACTGGATCTTGAGGGCACCTACCCAATCCATTTTTATCCACTGATAAGATTCAAAAATTTGAACAGAACCACGAAAGGTGAGGTCGCTTGGGGAAGCAGGATACTGGAGGGTGTGCCTTGAGGATCTTATCTCTTGGCCCTGGCTGGCTCCCTCAGATTGCTCCTCCTGGCTTCATGTTTTCCATTTCTTCCTCTCTTATCTCCCTTTCGGACATCCTCCCCTTTGGAGAGGACAAAGACAATGCCTTCTTCATCTTGCTATTCACTAATGTTCTGCCCTCAAGTAAGAGCTAAAGTTAAGCTTTAAACCCCACTTGCCCAAGGACAGATAACTCCCAAGAACATGGAGGGCTGTTGTTCTTGTAAGATAATAAATCACTTGTTCCACTTCAATAAACAAGGTTTGTTGTCCCAACTGCACAGGATGTGCTTGATCAGACCCAGGCAGGAGATACATAGGCAGGAAGGAAGTCAGGATGTATGCTTGCCCCCTGTGAACCAAGGTGGAAAGTACAGAACCTTGTGGGTTTAGACTTTATAAGTACCTGACAGACATAATTCATCACCACTTCTCTGGGAATCCCACATATGGACTTGGCCAGTGTCCATCTTCCTGGCCAGTATTTAATAATGCTTGCTTCAATTGGACAACCATGGATTTGGTCTTTCTCCTCACAGTTTTCAGGTTTAACCTTCACCAGACTACTTTCCAAGAAACAAGCATTAAATATATAAGAAATTGAATGTATGAAATCTAGCTTTCAACAGCCATTACTTCACAGTTAGTTGCAGACTGAATTGCTCCTTCTCCTAAACTTACACTAAACATTAAAACATATTTTGGACACTAAAGAAACAGAAATTCTATCTGTCTTTGTCTCTATTTTAAGTAGGGATAAAAACTGTAAAAATCAGGCTGGGGCCGGGCGGTGGTGGCGCACGCCTTTAATCCCAGCACTTGGGAGGCAGAGGCAGGAGGATTTCTGAGTTCGAGGCCAGCCTGGTCTACAGAGTGAGTTCCAGGACAGCCCGGGCTACACAGAGAAACCCTGTCTCGAAAAACCAAAAAAAAAAAAAAAAAAAAAAAAAATCAGGCTGGGCGTGGTGGCACACAGTTTTAGTCACAACAGTCACTCAGATGCAGCCAGGTAGATCTCTGGGAGTTCCAGACCAATAAGCTACAAGGGGAGACCCTAAGTGTAGTGTGTGTGTGTGTGTGTGTGTGTGTGTGTCTGTCTGTCTGTCTGTCTGTGTGTATATGTGTATAATTTTAAATTGTAAAAACCTGCAATATATTCCAATGCTACTCTAAAAAAGTCTTTAAAAAAAAAAGGGGGGGCTGGAGAGATGGATCCTACTGTGAGTCCCTATTATGCTGTTTACTGGAAAAATCTGTCTGTAGATGTGGTGTGGTTCAGCCTAGCACACACATTTATCCAAGAGCTTTCTGCTTGAAAATTGTAAACAGGATTAAATAAAGTCAACCATAAGTCAAGAGGCGGAGCTAGCAACCAGTTGACAGGGAGGAAACATAAGATTGTTTAGAAAAAAACAATGTCTGGGACATTGGCTGAGGAGGAAGGTCAGCTGGCTGCTTTCTCTACTTCCCTGAGCTAGCAAGCTTTCACCCCAGCATCTGGCTCCAGGTTTTCATTGGTAAAATCAAATGATTGATATTTTGTTAAAATAACAAATGGCTCAGAGGTTAAAAGCACTACCTGCTATTCCAGAAGACCCTGGATCAATTCCCAGAACCCAAATGGCAGCTCACAACTGTCTGCTACTCCAGTTCCAGGAGATCTGACACCTTCACACAGACATACACAGATGTCACACAGGCAATACTGCACCAATGCACACAAATTAATTTTAAAAACTAATTCACCTAATGTTTTTCCTTTTTTTTCTTTTGGGGTGTATATAAAAGTTTAATTAAATAAAAATACTTTCTGGGGAAGCTTTTTTTATTTTTTATCTAAAACATTTTTCATACAACATATCTTGATCATATTCTTTCCCCTCCCCCAACACCTCCCGACACTCCCTGCCCTCTAACTTCTTATTCTTTGTAAAAACAACAACAAAGTAGAATAAACCTTCCACTTCTAAAGCAGCACCACAAAATCTTTGTACCTTAGTAGAGTTAAAATTCTATACTACAATCCCGACTTCTGAGATTATTTTTACCGTCTATAAATCACAGGTTTCCCAGATCTCTACCATGGTCTCATGTTTCCCTGCTGGTTTTCTGTAATCACCATGACGATGGACTAAACATCTCATGTAAATATTAGTTGTTAACCTAACTACTTTGTTCCAAAAGGGGAGGGGGTAGAGGGGAGGGGCAGCAGTGAGGGTCGATAGGGTGTGTGTTGATCAAAAAGTGCAACAAAGATGGAGTGTCACTTTCACTTTTTGCAATGTTTCCCCTATACTATTTTAGGGCTTGCTTGACTTCTTTATTTTGCGGTATTTTGTCAATTATCACGTAAAGGCTTTTGAGTCACTATATGCTAACCACAGATCCGATTTTAAGCCATTCTGCTGGGTTAGCAACAACTCAAAAGGTCTTGCAGTTCAAGGTGGACCTCTGAGGCCTCTCGGGTACCCGGCCGGTCTGGGTGGCCCGACAGGTCCCGGCTAGATATTCTTTCCGTCCTTCTTAAAGTGATTGCTTGAGTACGTGTTCCTTAACCAAGGTTCTAGCGCGGCCTGGGCCGCCACAGCCCAGTCTGACCTGGAGGCCGTGCTCCGCCTGGCGGAGGAGGAGGCAAGATGGAGGCGGCCAGCGCCTGGGGCCGGGCTGGGCGGGGTTTCGGCACGGCCGCAGAGAATCCCACCAGGTTCTAGTGCCAGCTCCGGTCCTCCGTGAGGCCGCCCTCCGGGTTCCCACAGCCCAGACCGCGGCCGGCGCCCTCACGGGACGTGGAGGTGACTAGGGCGCCATTATGAACCTCCCGGGCGGGGGCCACAGCCGCGGCCCGCGCAGACCTCTCAAGGGGAAGGGAGGGCGGGGCGGCCGAGGGCGGAGGAGCGGGGCTGGGCGGACGGCGGGGACGCGGGCTGGCGCCGCTCCTTAGACCACTGTCCCCCTGCTGAGGGGCTCAAGATGAAGGCCTGGCCGCGCTTTGTCAGGCGCAGCGGCGACGTCGTGGCACCCCAATCACGATCCTACCTGTTCCTTCCGCGTCCTTTTCCTCCGCCATCTTGGTGCGGAGCCCGTCGCCTGGGCGATACCCCATCACAAACCCTTCGGGACGCGCGAGGGGGACCTGGCGGAGGAAGCCCCTCGACGCGGTGGCCCTCCCGACACTCCCGTCCCTCAAAAACCTAGGCCGGCGTTCTTTGGGCCCAGGGGAGTCATTTATTAATAAGGTTCCAGAGCCCGCCTTGGCCTGATTGTGACTGTCAAGGACGCAGGGTGTCTTGTTTGTTTGTTTACTTATTTTATTTAGCTTTTTTTCCCCGCCGTCTCAGGTGCACCCCAGAACCGGGTGCAGACCTAGCGGCCCCCCGCGCGTTACCCGGTCCCTCCCCGAAAAGCCTCCGCCCACCCCAACGCCACCCGGGCCAGGCTCTTTGGCGTCACCCTCTCCTAAGCGGAGCCACTCTGCAACTCAGGGAAACTGGAGCGAAAACGGGTGCAGGAGGAATCCAAGCCTCTCCCGGGGATCGCAGGGGGAGAGGACTCTTGTAGAAAAACATGTGCAAAATAGGCGCAAACACTGCGTCGCCAAGGCTGCAATTTCTGATACAAAGTAGTGTTCTCATAGCAACAAATAAATTGCCGGTCTGTTCTCAATGTTACATTGATATGTTGATGGTGCAGTTTGGCATAACCTTCCAATGAGAATCTTGAGTCCTGAAAAACTTGGCCATTGCATATTTTGTTATTTTATGGATAAGCCTAGAATACTAGGATATATTCTTCCTTAAAAACAGTTTTAAAATGTCTCAACAATGTGGCTCAAGTGAATATCTAGTTTTAGTCTTTAATGGTATTTCATAGTATATGTGTACTTAAGATTTTTTTAGAAGAAACTAAATGTTGAGGCCTTTAAAATGCAAGGTGATTAATTTTTGTTTTGCCTTGATTTTTTTATTTATTCACTTTACATCTTAGTCTTTAATTTTTTATTACTCATTTTTATTCATTGAACTTCTGTAATCTCAATGAATGAACCCTCAAAACAGACCAACTGTATTCTTCGTTAAAACATTTTTTCTACAGAAAATAACAATTTGATGAGGTCTAACTACAAACTTGAATAATCAGAAAATGGTGCATATTAAGAAATACTTCTAAGATGAACTCAAGTGTGCACAGTAAATTTATCACCCCAAAATATGGAGGAGTAATCAGCATTCATTTATATTAATATTTACAGTCTGTGTGTTCCCCCTTACTCTCCCTGAAGATGAAAGACTTTGCAGCAAGAACGGGAAGGAAGGGAACTGTCCCTTCCTGATTGCAGATGATCCTGAAGATCACCTGCCCCTTCTTACTCTACCTCTTCCTCAGTGGTCCCATAGTCAAAGTTTTCAAAATGGTTTATAGTGCTTTTATTTTATTTACTTGTCTACCACATACATTTCCAGCCAGTAAAGTTGTGCTATATACTGGGAATAGCACTTGTGTGTGGAATTGTGTGTGGGAGAGGTGTGTGTGTGTGTGTGTGTGTAGTTTGTCTTTGCTTTAGTATTTTGTATGAGGAAGGATTTTTAGGTGCCCAGGCTGGTCTTAAATTCCTGGACTCAAATGATGCTTCTGTTCAGCCTTCTTGGGTATCTAAGAGCTTCACATGTACATGCCCTTGTCTTCTTTCACAAGTATCTAGAACTTCGGATGTACATACTGATATCTAATCTGAAATAATACAGGTCTTAAAAATGAAGACAAGTTAGTGTTTTCAATGACTTTTCCAAGCGGTTCAGATTCAGTGAACTTACTATAAGATCTTTCTCTTGCGTTATATTTTTGTATCAGAAAAAGTATTGGCAGCACATGGTAATAAAATGGAATCCTTACATAAGCATTTGTACATATACCTAGTTAACATTTTAAAAGTTAAGCAAATTTCGCTGTAACTCACCTCTCAATATTTTGTACATTCTACTAAACTAATATAAAGCATTTCATTTTAGTTATTCTAAATCATATTAGTCTATACTTCTTCTAATGCCTCTTGAAATTTTTAAACAATACCATCAAATCAGGTGTGGAAGTCAGGAGACGGAGGCAGGGGGATCAGGAGTTCATCATGAGGATGGAGGTTTTACTCCGCAGTAAAAGGTACATGCTTACCATTCATAAAGCCCTAGGTCCAATCCCAGCACCAGTAAAAAGAAACTACAACAAAAAGGCTTTGACCTTAGATGGTGAAGAAACTGTTGAGCTAGCTTTGGCAATTCACACCTGTAGTCACAGCACCTGTAGTCAAGCTGGGATGAGGATTCCTGAAAGTTTGAGGTCAGCCTGGGCTACATTCTTTAAGACCCTATAACAAAAAAAAAATTTTTTTTTAATTAAAAAAAAAAACTGCTAGGGCAAGTAGGAAAAAAATAGAGAATATGTTAGCTGATAGCCCCCTCCAACTTTGAAGACAAGAGACAGGTCTGACTCATATCTGTAGTGCCTAGCCTCGTCGTTGGAGCATATTTTAGTTACTTAATATAATTTTTTCAACTTAGCTAATGTAGGCTTAATTTTTTCAAACCCTACTTTTAATATGGGTTCTTAAGTGCTTTAACTGCTTTTCTAGCTCACCACCCATCTGAGGTAATGGAAAAGAAAGGTTATTAGGATATGGGGAGAGTGGACCTGTTTAAAAATTGTTCTTTGGAACAAATCCCATCTGCATCGTCAGGGAGTCAGCAGTTCAGTTCACAGGAGTCAGCAGTGGCAGCTCCACTCACAAACACTTCACAGATAGACAAGCAGTCCAGCTCAGTAGTGTCAGGAGAGCAAATATGAATCAGCAGTGGTGGCACAACCTAGCAGACACAGCCAGGCCTCCTCAGAATCTGCACAAGTCAGTGGGAGTGACCAGGACCAACAGGGACACCAGGAGAAGTGCCATACTTCTCACTTAATGAAGTGAAGATCAGCAAAGACTGGAGACCAGCAATTCCTGTTGGTTTGAACAGGAATGGTCCCCATAGGCTCATATATTTGAATGCTTTGTCATTAGAGAGTGGTTGGTAGAGGACAAGTATGAGGTATGAGAAGGTGTGGCCTTGTTGGAGGAAGTGCATCACTGGGGATCTGCGCTGGGGTTTCCAGTGCTCAAGCCAGGCCCAGTGCCTCTCTCTTCCTGCTGTTTGCCAATCAGGATGTTGAACTCTCAACTACCTCTCCAGAACCGTGTCTGCCTTCAGGCAGCCATGTTTCCCACCATGAAGGTAATGGACTAAACCTCTGAACTGTAAGCCTGCCCTAACTAAATGTTTTCTTTTGAAAGAATTACTGTAGTCATGGTGTCTCTTCACAGCAGTAAAACATTGACTACAATAGAAACCTTTAAGAACATTTAATAAGCTTGCTAGGACATCAACCGTTTTAAGTGGATTTCATATATGAAGGAGCATGGGAAGATCAAACCCCCATCTCTCTCCTGAGATTCATCTTCCACTCAAAAGAGTCTGCTCTCCCAGTGTTTCAAATGCACACAAGGGATGAGCTAACCACAGTGTTCATCACTGCTACTACCTGCTGCCTGTAGCTATGGCATGCAGCCTGTCTTATTTAATACGGCTCCCCATCTTTCAGCTGGCCCTTCTTGGTTCCTACTTTCCCATAATCAAGCCTCAGTAAGCAGATGTGACTTTCACATGTTCCTGGAGCTCCAGACAAAGGACATGAGAAAGGGGCACCTACTGTCCTGCTCTAATCCCAGCTTCCTAATTGTAGGTACTACTCTCTTCCTGAGAATGTTTACACCACCCCTACGAATAGTCAATAGCCTGAATCTGTGATCTCAAAAGCAAAGTCTTGCCAGGCAGTGGTGGTGCACGCCTTTAATCCCAGCACTTGGGAGGCAGAGGCAGGTGGATTTCTGAGTTTGAGGCCAGCCCAGTCTACAGAGTGAGTTCCAGGACAGCCAGGACTACACAGAAAAACTCTGTCTTGAAAAACAAACAAAACAAAACAAAAGAAGCAAAGTCTTTATCAGATGATATCAGAAAAGGCTAAGGTTATCACTCAGGAATATATATACCAAGTGCTAAACATGCCGAAATACTGGGTCTGCACTCAGAACCACATACAGAAATCAGCACAGTAAGGATTGGATTCCTGACAGAGATATATGTTAAAAATAGTTCTTTTCAAGCTGGATATGTAGCAAAGCTGGTAGACTGCCCATGTAGCATGGACAACGCTCTGAATTCAGTCCCTAACATCCTATAAAGCAGGTGTGGTAGTGTATGAGAACTTAGGAAGGTAAAGGCAAGGGAGTGAGGAGTTTAAGGTCATCATCCTTGAAATTTAAGGCTAGCCTGGGCTATATGAGACCCTGCCAAGATTTCTAAGTAAGTTATGTGAAATACTTTGTATACAATGTCTTTTAATCTTTATGAAGTTGTTCACACTCCTGTTTTACAGGTGAAATGATAGCTTTTAGCCAGGCAGTGGTGGCACATGCTTTTAACCCCAGCACTCGAGAGGCAGAGACAGGATGTCTGAGTTTAAGGCCAGGTTGGTCTAGAGAGAGAGAGTAGCCAGGACAGCCAGGACTACACAGAGAAATCCTGTCTTGGGAAGGGGGGTGGGGCAGATATCTTTATATAGCTGGTATGCTATGGTATTGTAGATAGTTATGTGTCTGAAATGAATTACAGCTCATCTAGGCTCTACTTTTTTATGTATGCCATTGGGAGATCCAATTTAGTAACCAGAATACTTAGAGAAGAACATTAAAGGCAAGAATTCTCCACAGAATTAGTCACCTCTCCTTGTGGGTGATTTTTTTTTTAATCTACTTCAAAACATGAAAACATGAAGCAGAACATCCAGCAGAATCTCTCAGAAACATTGAAGGAAGCACACAGAGGTGTGCTTTGTGTCCTGTGTGGATAGATGATTTAAACTTTAAAGGCATGGCCAGACTGTGGCTTCTCTCTCCTCCCCACCTATCTGCTGACAGAAATCTCAGGCCTCTGTTACAAAGGAAGACTAAAAGTTATAGCCCTGGACAAGAATATTTTCAGAACCAGAAGTAGCATAAGTGTTCTGAGACAGTGGACACAGAGAGCCAGGCTGTGGGCACCTTGAAAGCAAGCCTTGCAGAAACCATGACCTAT